CGGCGAGGCACACGATCGTGCCAGGAGGCCTATAATGAATCTAGTCCATTCTAGCCCAGAGCGTTTTCAGATCTTTGTGACATGTTTTATGGTTTCTGTGTTGTCTTGGGTAGGCTTGGCAATCCCCGTGCAGAAGCTGCATCGCTCGCAGCTTGCCTTGGTTGACTGTCAGATCTCGAACTTCTGCAGCCGTATGCGCACACTGGTACTCGACTCTGTAAGTGACGTGCGATCCTTATCGGAGTCATAGTCAAATTTGTTCATGCAGTGTGAAACGTTGTGAAGCAACCAGCGGTTTCCCCGATGATTCCCTTCTAGGATGAAGCCAGCTTGCAGGCGACGTAAGACCGCCAGATTGGTTTGTCAGAACGTGCGAAACTGTGCAGCTCAGTTGTGGCAGCTGTGTTGCTTTGCTTTGGTGGTGGTGTCGGCGTCGCACAGAGAATCAGTCGATTATGCTGCAGGCACAGTCGTGGTCCTAGCGGGAAGTGGCTTGTCGATGTCCAACTCAGTATCTGCTAACTTTGCTTTTTGAGATTGTCCGTCACAGGAAAACTTGGGTTTGGATTTCAACATAGACACGGTCGCTACGCCCCGCTTGAGCATTACTCGCTTGGAAGCGGCATTATGTGACCAAGCCGGCAAGTCCTGTGATGTGGTAGATTCGCCGTTTATCACCAGCAGCTCATGCATGGCATAACACCACGCCATCGTCATCAGCATGATTTTCACGGGAGACACCCTTGTCTCTCTTTATGTGGGAACTGTTTGGAGTCTTTTCATCGGTACGGCTGATCACCAAAGGTAGCTTCCTGGTACACGTGTCAGTTCCATGTTTCTCAGTGACGTCATGATTCGCCGCTCGCACCAAGCTCAGCGTTTGTGTCAGCTGCTTGCTTATTCGTATCTTTTCATTTGGTCTTCATCCGTACGGGCACGTCAAGGTCCAGCAGCATCTTTCTGGTATTTTGCTTCATCTTCATGATTGTTTTTCGTGTTTCGCTTCATGCATACACACTCATCCATCCTCGCACCCGCGCAAATTAGTGGCTTAGTGGGACAATTTGCAGACTTGGGCCGTGGTTAGTGGCAAACATGAACATACTCTTTGCGAAGAACAATAATCGTAGCGAAGTAAGAGCGAGGAGGCCGGGAGGTGGGAAATGTACATGGCCAGCGTGTAGCAAAGTCGTGGCAAGGCAACAAACTAGGAATGGCAGGAGGCTTTGCGAGGTCTCACATCATGCTGCGAGTGAATTTAAGTCCGGACAACCTCGTGCTATCGCAGTCTTTTTAGTGTCTCCAGCGAGATTCGGACTTGCGATTCGCTCAGGAAGCAGTCGCCAGTGCAGGAAGCTTGGCGAAGCAGAAAGTTTGAGTGAAGCAAAGTGGAGCTCGTGGCAGCGTCGAGTCCTTGGCTGAAAGGTCTGCCTGCACATCAAAGCACCAGCAGAGGCTATTCAGGTTGGGGCTGTGCTCAGATGGCACATCGAACTGCACTCCAACAGTCAGAGGATGACCTTTTCGAAAGGCCCTCGACGGTGCCCAGCTTCAGTACAAGAAGCTCAAGGCAGGAAGTAAGACTGGTGAATTGTCTTATTTGGTGCAGCACCACCTTGGCAGGACAAAAAGAGGGAGGGAGCAGTGGTCGGCATGGCCGTCTCCTCAAGCTATACTGCGAGGCGGTTATTGCAGTGATGCTCCCGACCTCCGTCTTCCAATGGAGACGGACTATCCTGGAAGCTTCTTTCGTTTTGGCTTCACGGCACGGATCTGAATGGGACGCAGACATGCATGCAGCGCATCGTTGAACGAATGCTGCTGCTCTACAATGTCTCCGACATTCTCCGACCAGAGTTCTCTGCAGCTGCCTGCGTGCGAATGATGCCACTTCTTATTTCCACGGCAGTAGTTGCTTCCCACATTATCCTTTCTTCTTTTCGTTTATGGCAGCTCTGTCGTGGCCAGACATTCCAGGGGCCAGGTTTTGGCCTGGGCGGGTGGGTCGGTGAGTGGGGTGCAAAACATACATGTAAATGTATTATGTATGCACAGAATATACACAAACGTGTATAGCTCAAGGCGACTTGATATCAACAAGCTTTGGAGGTAGGTCTCGGGGGTGAGTATCATATATGTATATGGGCATATATATATATATCATAAGATCAATTACATTATACTTTTATGATACATCATTGTGGACTAGGTCTATGAACGTATTTATATTTATATATGAGAAGATATTGTACTATATTATGATACGTAATTTCATATCATAACATTGAACCTCATTACATTATAGTACATGTTGTTAGCAGAGTCTAACAGAGTAGGTCCTTACACGACAGGGTTCAAAGACACGCTGACAAGATTTCAAGCAACAACGGCAAGCTAATTTCTTACACTGACAAGGGTTTAGGCTCAACCCTAGCAGTATGTGCTGGTGTGGAGTGGAGTTCTCATTCCGAGAAGCTTTGCATCAGTTCTCATTCCGAGAAGATTTGCATCAGGACAGAAGTGTAAGACACCTGCAATTCAATCCTGCCGCCCCCCCTCTCCCCCGCCACGCACGGGGGAATCACCATTTTGGAGGATTTAGGCTTTGGAAATGGCTAAATGGTGGCGGGGGAATCACCATTTTGGAGGATTTAGGCTCTGAAAATTCCAAAATGGTGATTCCCACGTGTCCCCGGAATCTCCATTTTGGGAGGATTTAGGCTCTGAAATCCGCCACACGCGGGGGAATCACCATTTTGGAGGATTTAGGCTCTGATAATGGCGAAATGGTGATTCCCGTACGTCCCCCCCCTCTCCCCTGCCACATGCAGGGGAATCACCATTTTGGAAGATTTAGGGTCTGAAAACGGCAAAACAGTACCTTGCCATTTTCAGAGGCTATAAAACCTCCAAAATGGTGATTCCCCCGCGTGGCGGTAGAGAAGGAGGGGGGTCACGTGCGGGAATCGTGGGAATCAACATTTTGCCATGTGCTGATGCTGGTATGTGCTGATGCTGCTGATGTGTCGTGCTGCGGCTGATGCGTCCTGTTGCTGCTGCTGCTGATGCCTGAACGTGGTGAGGCTTTCATGCCTCATCGTGGTCAGGTTTTCATGTGTCCGGCTTTGTTGCTGAGGCTGCTGATGTCTTGTCGTGGTGAGGTTTGCATGCCTTGTCGTGGTGAGGTTTTGATGCCTTGTCGTGGTGAGAATTTCAATGCGCTGTCATGGTGAAGTTGTTTTTCTGTCGCGGTGCCAATATGTTTTGTTATGGTGCGTAGTCTTTGTTTCTGTCGTTGTAACAACGCGCTCTCCTATTGTTAAATCATTGTACAGTATATGAGATTGTGTTCAACCTATACATTATTCTTATGTCATATGTATGTCATATGATAATACCATACAGGACTGAATGAACATATGAAATGCGTACTATACGTGTACAAAATCATACAATATCAAATAGAATCATAATATAACAGAACATAACCCAATATAACGTATTGTTGGTTGATGTAACAAACTGCAATCTACTAAGGCATGTAAAACCATAGAGCAATACGGTTCAATACACCACGAAAAAACATGGCCAATATAACATAACATAGTATTATCGAACAGAATATATTAAAGCATCATATGCTGTTTATGCTATGCTGTAGTGTTGTACACTATAATAAGCTATTACAGAAACAAATGTCAAGATTATTTATGTAAAACAGTCATCGTCAGTAGCAATTGTTGTGTGGGGATCTATTGGCCATATAAGTTCTGCTTAATCTTGATACAAAATCATATAATCATACGGCAAAACTTGGGACTGCATTGTAACATATTTTGCAGTTTTAACAAAACTGAAATTTGCTATTGTTTTAACATTAGAAAAATTTCAATATACATATCATATCGAATGAATACCAGTATAAGATAGAATATTACAACGTACATATGATAGCCAGAGCTAATCTAATGTAATTCACGTTTACAGGGTATGTTGCGGAGGCGAAAGCGTGGTCGGCTTTTCACCTATATATTGCTTCGAAGCCCGCTTGTACGTAAAGACTTGGGCATACTCTCCCGCAGCTCCCCGCAGCCCCCGCCTTGCAAAACAGGTCCCACCCCCATCTATTTTCATGCCTTCTGCTTCTCCTTGTCATATGGCCTGTGCGCGTGCGCAACATGCATTGTTCGGTGCACCCAGTTCTCCGCATCCCTAGAAGTCGTACTCTGATGGAGACGAGAAACGCGGCTCTTTTCTGACTGTTCTCGCATCAACGTGTCAATGTCCTGGTGCAAGCCGGGCAAATTGTTCGTGAGGCGTGTCCGCACAGCAGACACGGGACGGTGGAGCAAGAGATTTCAGGAGTATTTGGGCGTGCCCAGGATTGTGGAAACCTCCAGATTTGCACGCCTCTGTGTCGGATCGTCTAGGCCTCTCTTGCACCGAGCCTTTTGTGCAGCTCCGCTCACGCAAGTCCCTTCGAGGGGTGCTTTCGTAGCCCGATGGGGCTTGCGATGCTGAAACGCAAGAGCACCAGCCGCGATTCGAGCAAGTGTGGTTCGAGTGGCGTTGAGCAAATTTGCGCTCTCCAGAGTCTCTAGAGTTTCATTGTTAGCTTTTCGGCGCTTTGGCTTGTCGCGGCGTTAGGGTTTACTTGCGAAGGCGGGTTTAAGGTTCAGGGTTTTTCAAGGTTTGAATTTTCGGAGTGGGTCAGGATTCTATCAGGGTTCTCAAGGGTTCGCGGCTCTGCATGTGTACGGCTGTGCAGCTCAGGGTGTTGGGCTTACCGTTGGGGCTCAGGAATGCCCAGCACCAAAACCCTAGTTCTTCTGTAAAGGCCCAGGTTGCGGGCTGTGACGCTATAGGGCTTGTTGTTCTGGCTGGTTGTTCTTGCCATTGGTGCCCGAACCAGTGCGATAGTGCTAAAGTCAGCTCGCGTGCGAGTCCGTAGCATCCGTGGGCAAGAGCTCAGGCTGTGAAGGCGCAGCTGCTTGCGGGAGATGCAACTGCAGCACTTCGTGCGGCGAAGGAGGCGAGGCATTAGAAGCCACGGTCTCACGGCTGCACATGACATCGGCATGATGTGATGCTGATGCGCAAAATGCAACAAAGCTAGTTGAAGCTGAGAGGCACGAGCTTTGGCCAGGGAGTTACGCGATCGCAAGGCTGAGGCTGAGGTGCAAGGGTTGGGATGGTCGGGTGGTCAGGACGTGTCGTGATTCGGACATGTGCTCGTGTCCGCGGCATAACCTTGATACCTGAGGCGCTCGATGCAGCTTCCCAGGCGAGGACGAGTTGTAACTCTTTCCACTCTTCACTGTTTGGTGGATTTTGACTCAGCGGTTCCTTCGTTCTGCCACTGTGAGGTTCACTTGGCGAAGCGTGACTACAACGAAGCTCTCGATTGCGCCAAGAGCCGAGCCCTCGGCACTGCCCTTGCGAACATGGATGTGCAGCTGATTTGGGCAAGTCCTTTTGCCCTTTTCCTCGCAGCAGGCATGGCGAGCTTGTACGATGAGCTCCAGGAAGACAAACTTGCAGCGAAGGCACCAAGTGGTAATTGCGACCACACCAATCAGAGTTTCATGCGTTTCTGTGCAGGCTAAGCAGTTGCTCACGTCCGTCTACCTGGCGAAAGGAGATGCGAGAGTGCCCTGACGGCCATGATGGAAAGTGCACTTGTCTCGCGACACTCGTAACATCACCTCGATAAACCAAGGCTGCCATTGACATCGGTGGTATCCTGAGACTCATCCAAGCAGAGTGCCAGCCACCTGGGATATACTTGCATGGCTGTCCCACAATTCAACTTCAACAATTCGGCACGATGCAGCCGTGGCATCTGAACGGGATCGGGCTTTGTCCCTCAGTTAAAGTTTTGAATTGAGCAACCACTTCCGTTTCCTTCCGCTCCATCTTCCTCATGCTGCCTTTTGCTCTTTGTGATCAAGCGGCTCATGGCCGCTGGATCAGGGTCAGCGAAACGCGAGGATCTCGTGGCACTAGCCGCTAACATCTCACGTTGATGTCCCCCCCACCCCTTCATGTGTTGAGCCTGTACCTGCCGCTGCAGGTGAAGATGCCGTCGCCACCTTCCAAAAGCTGGAAGAGCCCTCATCCGAGGAGGGAATGGAAGTCCTCGAAAATAGCCCCAACTCTGCTATCATGTTGGACACTCTGCTATCATGTTGGACACTATAGTCGACTGATTCGACTGTCGGGCAGGCGGTCGCCCAGCATCTGTGTGCGCAAGCATATTTGCAGCGTCGATGCCTCGTCTTTGTGGGCTCTTGCGTATGTACATGAAGCATCGGGTCGTGCAAGCTCCACTTTGCTGCAGTTTCGCTTCATGTCCACGTCTGCACACTGCATGATTCACAAGGTCACCACGATGATGAGAGAAGTGTGAACCTCAAGTGAGCTAGCTAGCTTTCGTCATCACTCTGATCTTGCTTCTTTGGCAGCTGCCTGGCAGTGGAGACTAACTGACAGCAAAGACTAGCATGTTTTAACTTGATCTTAAGGTCGCCAGCAGAACGGATTGGGCCGTACGAGCTACCTCTCACAGGAGCTACTGATGCAATAGCAAGCTTACGGCATCGCCTATTACACTCAATCCGTGAATGACGCGATAGGTTTTGCATTCTTGAGAGGATCCGGCGGAAGCAGTGCGGACGGCCCCCCAGCAAAGCCTTGTTTTCGGAATGAGTGTTCTTTGGCCGTTTCTCTCTGGGGCCGTGTTGACTCACCCCTTTGCAATCTCGAACCTTTGACGGTAATTGTAAACTCGCCTTGGCGCTCCCTTGGACCGTGGGGGAAGCAAGGGCCTGGTCTGGCCAAGCTGTGGACTCCGAGGGTTCATACCTTGAGTAGTGCGACGCTGGAACGTTGCTTGTCTTTCCAAGGTCTGCGCAGCGCGCAAGGGCGCTTTTCAAGCAGCTCGGGAATCTCACCGGAGAGCTGGAAGTGCAACGCCGAGCTATCGTTGTTAAGTATAACTTTAATGGCTGCCGCCAGTGCCGCCGAGCGCCGGCCTGATGCTCTTCCAAATAAATACCGTAATATACTGTATGCCTTATGTACAGGCGAAGGAAGTGCGGGTTTCCCTGCAGGTGCTTGTGCCATTCTTTGGCCAGTAGTAGCGATGCTCCGGGCAGGTGATTTCCGGGCTCTATGTGGACATACTCCTTGGGACTCCTTGGGGGGGAGTACTAGTAGTAGTAGTAGTAGTAGTAGTAGTAGTAGCAGTAGCAGTAGCAGTAGCAGTAGCAGTAGGAATAGGAGTAGGAGTAGGAGTAGGAGTAGAAGCAGTAGCAGTAGAGTAGCAGT